AGAACGTTGATTTTAACCGTAAAATAAATACTCAAATGAGTAACTTATGAGAACACAATGTACGAAGTGCACAACCTATTGATATTAATAGCCCATGTGGCTATGAGTACATGTTTTTTAAACTACACAGCATATTTTACAGAGTCATTTTTCCGTCACAGAAACACCAACTGTAATAAACAATTTTGTGCAAACAGAATTGAGATTGTCATGCCATGTCCGTCTGTTGCATATTCTTTTGTTCACTCCATTTCAACTGGGCCTTAAATTAATTTCACATTGGTGAACATTCACTACAGTGCTATTAACTGGGGATTAACTGGAGCACACATTGGTCGAAATGAGTTGAAAGGCATTTTATATGGAGACGTTATTTTATGTATATATTCCAGTTATATGGAACACGGTTACTTTATAAAAAAGTGCTGCAAAATAGAAGAGGGAAACTGGGGTATGTATATCTATTGTGTGTAAACAGCCTTGAATTCACAGCGAGATTATCAAAGATATTTTGTCATATGAAGATCGAAAATGCCGAACGTGTATTTGTAATTACAGTTCAAATGCTACATTTCTATTCATATAAAGAGTGTAAACGCTACCAATTTTCAGGTTGAGACTGTTAACACTTACGGTCGGCATCTTGGTGATAGAAATAGCACGGCTCCAACAAAAACGTGAAATAAGCTTGTCAGTGTGTTGACGTGCATATCACGTGACAACGAATGTATTTACATCTGTATAGTCATCACAACCAAATTCTTCATAGAGCAGGGTTATTGACTACCAATATACGGAATACATTTCAAAACATTGACACCCAACCTCAAAGTACAGAAATTCCTCACACTAACGAATACGCGAATCTACATGTATACGAAACATTACTAATACTATGCATATGAAAAAACGTGTTGTTGTAGATGAAACAAAAATCCGCCTAAATATGTGGCTAGCATTTTTAATTGTAATATCTTGAAAATATTTGGCCAGATAAATCCATTTGGGGTTAAAAATGAATTGTATTTTTGCCGTGTTTATGAATCTGTATATACACTGTATGGGTGAGCATTCACCCGGATACTTTTAATAAATCTGAGGTGTCTCCTTTGACGAGCAACGCCGTGCCCTGATTAAACAGGTACATATATATATTAGTGGAGGCCACTGACTATATGGCATCTATGAGAGGTTACATCTTCCATGAGGTCTGCATTAACTGTGGTGTGAGTCAATGCCCAGTGTGCATATTCTGGGCAGATGCTGGTTTCTATATAAACTCAATTTTCCATGTGATTTCCGTGTTACACATTGTGTGAGACCAAGCCCTTGGGAAGGTATTTGTTTTGTGCTGTGCGAACTCTCTATGCATGGAGCGACTATTATTCCGTACAGGATTAAATCGAGAGTCGACCATGCTAGCTGAGAGCACAGTGTTTGAAGTACATAGCATACAAGTATGAGAAGCCCCAAGTCTCGTATCAAAGTAAGACTAACTAATGAGTAGTACCATTTGACCCTTTAACTTCAAGTGTTTGAACACCAGTGTTGCATCAATGAAGCTGTTGGAAGTATCAAAGACGAGGAACTAACATACCCAGATTACCTCATCAAAGTTATTTTTACGCGTGTCGATTTCGAACTATGAACATTCGAAGAACGTTGATTTTAACCGTAAAATAAATACTCAAATGAGTAACTTATGAGAACACAATGTACGAAGTGCACAACCTATTGATATTAATAGCCCATGTGGCTATGAGTACATGTTTTTTAAACTACACAGCATATTTTACAGAGTCATTTTTCCGTCACAGAAACACCAACTGTAATAAACAATTTTGTGCAAACAGAATTGAGATTGTCATGCCATGTCCGTCTGTTGCATATTCTTTTGTTCACTCCATTTCAACTGGGCCTTAAATTAATTTCACATTGGTGAACATTCACAACAGTGCTATTAACTGGGGATTAACTGGAGCACACATTGGTCGAAATGAGTTGAAAGGCATTTTATATGGAGACGTTATTTTATGTATATATTCCAGTTATGTGGATCACGGTGACTTTATAAATAAGTGCTGCAAAATAGAAGCGGGAATCTGGGATATGTATATCGATTGTGTGTAAACAATATTTAATTCACAACAAGATTATCAAAGATATTTTGTAATATGGAGATCGAAAATGCCGCACGTGTATTTGTATTTACAGTTCAAATGCTACATTTCTATTCATATAAAGAGTGTAAACGCTACCAATTTTCAGTTGAGATTAATAACACTTATGGTCGGCATCTTGGTGATAGAAATAGCACGGCTAAGAGGTGCGACCAATGACTTACACTACGACAATCCAACAGAAACGCGAAATGAACGCACACACTGGCTCGCCCTAATGCTGTCAGTGGTAGGGTACATTTGCATAAACAAAAACGAATCTTGTCAGTGTGTTGACGTGCATATCACGTGACAACGAATGTATTTACATCTGTATAGCCATCACAACCAAATTACACATAGAGCAGAGATTCTGACTACCAATATACGGAATACATTTCAAAACATTGAAACCCGACCTCAAAGTACAGAGATGCCTCACACTAACGAATACGCGAATCTACACGTGTACGAAACATTACAAATATGCATATTAATATTATGCATATGAAAAAACCTGTTGTTGTAGATGTAACACAAATCCAGCTAATATGTATGTAGCATTTTTAATTGTAATATCTTGACAACATTAGGCCAGATAAATCCATTTGAGGTTAAAAATGAATTTTATTATTGCTGTGTTTATTATTGCACGTCAACTCTCTTCACCATCTTCTTCAGCACCAAGCTTCAATAGCCACAGAAGATTTCAGCAATGAAGATGGCATCTATATACGATGCTGCACTGATGTTGGGAACAGATTTTTGGGAATAACATATTTGGGGATACCGTATGATATTCTTTATCTTTCATTTCGTCACTATAGTTTATCACGTTAATATAACTTGAGAATGTAAACTTGTCACATGTGTGAGTCGAGACTGACAGGAGGCAGTATTGTTTAGACCACGCAATGAGGTAGTCGTCCTTTTCAACTCAAAGTAATTGACTTGTTATCTGATTCTGCAAAAGAACCTATACCCCACACTGATGGTAGCCTGTTGTGGTGACTGCAGGCCAATGCGAAGAATCTAGAGCAACTGTTTCGGAAGTTATTTTCTATGATGATGCTGCTTTTGTTGTCCACGCGCAGACTGCCATGCAGCGTGTACACTACAACTTTTAGAATGTTTCCACCAACAAGTGATCATCTCCATTCCCAAACATTCACTGGAGCGATGTCAAAAAAGTGTTGGGGGAAGCAAACATCTCCAGCATTGAGGCCATGTTGGTAAAACACGTCCTCTATGGTGAACTCTCTACTGGACATCGTGAAAGATGAGCTACCAAGGGGCTTGGTGACACACTGTTCAGTCAGTCAGTCAGTCGTTCAGGAGGAAGAACCGTATCATCACAGTATCAACCACTCAATCATTTCTGCAGCTGTTGTAGCTAGGTGTGCCTGTCACATATCGGAAAGCCCGTGACAGACGCGAACAATGTCCTTGAATTTTCGTTTACAAAGCCAAGCAAGAGCAACCTGGATGTGATGGAGCACATGGCATAGCAAATGATATGATAGTGCATGGCTGTGACCAGAAAGAACATCACCAAAAACTAACAATAAACAAAGTAAAGTAACAATAAATAAAGTGTGTGAATGGAATGAAAAAACTCACATTGATAGGACATTTGCTTTATTGGTTTTATACAAGCTAATGTGAAAACAGTGCTAGATAGCCAGTGGAAGCAAGACAGGTCAGACTCTTTCTATGTTAAGTTACTTCACAGTATAGTATATGTCTGACATTGACAGGACTGGTGAAAAAGCTCATCCTGAAAACAGACAAATGTTGTCTGGAGAAGTGATCAGAAAAAATGTTGGCATACTTTGAAAAAGATGCTGAAACACAAGTGGTTGCGGATGCCAGCCCAGTTGGTATCAGTGCTATATTGGTCCAAACACGGTTATTGCAAGTGTATAAGTCAAAAATAAAATGTTTTTTTCCTTTTGTTTGATTCATTTTTTTAATGAGTCAATGAAAAAAGTATATTACACAATGAGGTGCAAATGGCGTCCAAGCAAGGATGTCTTCATATGCGGCATGATATAGTAATAGCCGAAGGTGGACATGTAATTTTGCCGATGTGACTGTATCAGTTAAAATAAGGCTAACCCTATTCTAGCACTTTTGTCTGATTACAAACTGGTCTGTAAAACAAAGAAAACGTCATCCATCTAACATTCATAAGTTAGTCTTCTTATGTCAAATAAAGTAAATACAGTGACATTAGTGGGTATATTGTGTCACACCAGCCTGTAAGAGAATGAACAGCGACTTGTCTCTAATGGAATGAAGAGATCGCTTGGCTAATTAAATAACTGAAATGTTAAGTAAGACATTGATGCTGTATAGATTGTTTAATTGCTACAGTAACTCAAGAAGCAACTTATATCAGTCGTATAGATATTTCTATTGAAAGTCTACGTTTATTATTCATCGAGACCAGACGTGACATTCATATTCACTTAACATTGTAAGGGCAGTGTTGTAATGACGAGTGAGGATGGTATATGTAAATTACAGTGTTTACCCGAAAAAAAAACAAGATTAGATTTGTAATTCGATTGTACTTTCGTTATAAACAAAGTTACCGTTGTGTTGTTTAAAAATAAAAATGAATGGAAAACTTTTTACTAGGAAGTAAATACCATTTGTGAATATTAATCAATTGCTTCGCCAGTTACCTCGTATATTTATACTATTTTAGTTCAAGTATAACAAAAGGCTGCGAAGAAAGCAGACCTGTATTATTTCATTTGTGATTGGGTGGCATGATTCAAAATTATTTTGTATAATAGTGAAGGACAATATATTATTACACGTACACACGTAATATGAGTTTATAATCACATATATATTATTTATTGCATTTTTAATCATGGTTCACGATATGGTATCATAATATTCAAATATGGTATGATATGGTATCATAATATTCAAATATGGTATGATATGGTATCATAATAATATCAAATGATACACTACACTAGCAGCGGGTCAATTATAGCCTTCCAATCGTCGAATGTCCATACTGGGAAGTACTCAACGACTGTCATACCATTTAAGAAAAACCATGGACTGCCATATACACCACCTATAAGACATATTAGAACGCAAGATAAAACACAATATAATTTGTATCTGACATAGATAAACTATTTTCACCAGTTCCACCACGCTCCATATGCTCCATTATAAGTCCATTAAAAACTACATATGTCTAGTTTCTGGAAAAAGTAATTGTCATTGCACATATACATACGAGTATTAGCCATCTTCATCTCAAATCTGCAGCGTACATCGGTCATAGGCTTGCCAAATTCTGTTACAAAGTCTTCTTCAGGTATTCCCAAAACTGTTGCTAATTCTGTCAGTATTCTACAAAGGTAAGTGATAATAGAACAGGTAACACAATGTGCAAGGAAATGGAGAGGGAAATTATTGCAGGTGTATACGTCAAAAAAAACCCCACGCCGAATGATGCTGGATCGAATGATCTTGTAGTTATCATAGTTTATGTTTTGCAGGTCACGTTCATAGTATCAGTCGTATTAGTACTCACCGATTGATATGTCTGTGCTTGGAAGAAAGCAGTAAATACAAAATCTAATGGGTCACTTTGTTTACTGTTTACTGTGTTTACTAATTCTCAAATCAAAAACACGACTATAAATTTAATCGGAAGTATGAAATTAGCGATCAACAAGCAGAATCAAACAGGAGGTTGGACGAAATGTAGTACATCGTAGTTGGCAATGTACAATGTAGTTTGCTTTCACTACTGGCGAGGCGAGATTGGTAGCAGACTCGGGCTTTGCCCTTTATACTAGGGATGTCAGGGGAATATTATACACATACCATAGAGTAGTTTACATGACTGCATTGGACAGATCTCTACTGGAGCAATACAATGCACTTTATTTGATGAAAATCAGGGTAACCGTTCTCGATATAAGGTAGCTTCAAGTAGCATCTCTTAATTTTGGACAAATGATGACACAACAAAGCACGACTGAATTGTAAAAACAACGGCACCATTTTGGATGAATAAGCACTAATTATTTAATTGGAGTTGAACTTAACCTGCCATATCTTTCCCCTTTTTTATTGAATTTTCACCAAATTTCCAACAACTGAACTTTATATCAATGTTTATCTAATGTCATGAGCGGGCAACATATAGACAATATGTTACCATGGAAACAGGTCAAATTCAAATTTCATTTTTAATCATCTGTCAGTGTCAATAAAGATAAACAAGTTTTACTTTCGTTTATGTTGCCTTCGTTTTTATTCCTATACAAATGCATTTAAAACGCCCTCATTGATCGGCTATGTGTTCTACCAAGCTTTGCTTATTTTTACCCTATAATAATACTTATGAAACAAAAAGCATTGACACGAATAAACAAATCTAAGATATAACATTATAGCATAATATACAGCTTAATTTTTGGCAACTTAGAAAAGCAGTATGCATGGAAAACATAACTGGGAGCTGCCTGGAAAATTTGAAATCTCTGGGCATGATCGATCCATTTTTATGCCAAACTAACCAATAAATCATCTCAATTCTACAGCTGTGAAAGCTCTAACATGTACAATTCGTTTTATTTTGCATTTACGCTGCATTTTCTATATGATAAAAACAAAATAAACGCATCTTACCGTATATAAAAGTGAAGAAGTGAAAAAATCTCTTAGTACATGAAAATGGCGTTCATGTAAACAAAATACCGGGATGCAGGTACCACTTTTAAAATTGGCTTGTCATACTCTCTAAATTGATGTCACACTCACAAAACCTACATTTTTTACTATTAAAATATATATTTTTTCAAATTATAAGTGATAGATATGCCAGAATGATGTAAGTCGATACGAAAATTGCCGTTACACTTTTGTTTTTATTGTCGTTTCGCCAATTTTCGATCGGTTCTCACCTATCACCTCTCATTCTATAGCTGTCACCCCTACTGTGACATTTTCGAAATCGTACGGTCCATTGCAACGCGGGAAAACGCAGCAAACTTCTCTAGATTTAGAACACCGGGTCAAATTCGAAGGGCACGCTCGCGTTCGCGGCGCTTGCCAGGATTTTCAAATGTTTCAATTTTTATTCTCCCGTATTGTCAAAACGGCTACTCACAATGGGCTAGAATTCCTGGTAATTTTTATTTTGTAGTTTTTGAAAGGGTAGCTGCCCACACCCACTTCTTCCGATGTCATTAACCACGTGACTGAAATCCCTATTTATACTAGTAAAGTCTGAATAAACTTGTGTATTAATGTTTGCAACGATTTGTATACCGGATATATCCGGTGTCCGGTTCTGTGTTATTTTTGTTGTAGTTTTGTGACTATTGTTTTTGGTCAACTTCTGTCAACTTCGGATTAAATTGCAAAAATTGCCGACCAATATGCCGCATTTTTCGGCTCAATTCTGGTTATTTTTGTGATTTTGCAGTTTCATTATGACTGGCAATTAAATGGTATATTTGGGGTTGGTAATTGTATTAATTGTGGACAATTGCACTTGACTATTAGAACGAATGAACACGTGTCGTACAGAAGGCGATTATTACAAAGAAAGCCTTACTCACACAAATAATTCAGCCTCGCTAACATTTGCAGGTGATCCGTTAATTCTGTATTGGTTTTCGAACAAGAGATGGATGTATTCCACTGTACGTGAACTATCCAATTGATCAACTGCCCGTAAAGCCTATAAAAGATGCATGTTATTGTGTTATTATTGATATACAATACCGCATTGGCAACGAAATTTAGTTTCTCACTGAGAACCATTAGAATTACAGATACGTGACATAAGTGAGAGTATCATGCTTGAGGAATTTCCCCAGAATTGGTGCACCTGAATCAATCAACATTTTACAATAGACGTATTCCCATTAGTATAAGAAAAACCCTGACTACAAATTGTTTTACACTTGGAAAATTAATCTCTTGATTTATGCAGGGAGGGTCCTCTGCTGTTACAAAATACCACATTCCTGTTATTACTTCACACAGAAATTCAAATTGAAATTAGTAAAGATGAAGGACGATGAGAATGACAGTGAGAATTCGGGTATTGCTCTCATTGCATTAATAGCAATAATACCATCTAAGTGACTAAACATAGTACTGGTATTGTGTGTACACAATATATGTTATATGTTAACAGTACAGTGATATGTATAAGTAATACATTTTGAAGTATGTGGCTGACATGTCATGTCATTATCAGCATTTGTAAACCGCAACTTTTACGCGAAGAGAATTTGCCCGAACAAATGTGACGAGGGCCATATGTGAGACAAGTTTTTTAGACTAACACTGTCGAATCTTTCCTTTTTACCTGAAACTTTACAATATTTCGGTTGAAGCCACTTACACGCACAGAACAGAATAATAAAGGAGATCGAGCTTGTACCTACTTAAGTGCATAATATTGTTATAGTGTACTTTACCAGTAAACGAACGAGATCAATTGTGATTATACACTATCAAAGCTTAGTTATTTAAATAGATATAGAAATACATTGCGCATTCTAATACGAAGTTGTGTGGTATGACAACCTGACAAACAAAATGACTGTTTTTTATCACTCTATCAACTTCAGTAAGTAATCTCACTAACATTTTATAGACTCTTAACTAGTTGTCCATAAGAAGCTAATCCTATTTAAAACTGTTCTTATTATATCTCAAGGCATTTGTGTTTCTGCGAAGTGTGGGGATTACTATAATAATAATAAAAAACACCACTGTTTCAATCATTCCTTCTTACAGTTTTCTTTATGTTGTACAGAAAATATCGATAATTAAAGTTATGTTTATGCCACGTGATGTTATTATTTAGGTGTGATAAATTCACAAATAATTATATTTTTAGACCCGGAACTATAACCTTTTTGCGTGGACTTAAGAAGTGATACTGATGATGACTTTTCAGTAACACGCTGTATTCAATATATTATAAGAAAGAGAAAGGCACGAAGCAAAGGCTTTGCTTATACACGTATTTATAAAAGATTGTAAATACCGATCACCAGCTTTCATTTAAATCAAAGAATAGCAAATGGCGCAAGAGCTGAATGTTGTCTAAATAAATAATGCGGGACTTAGCAACAACGATCACCCACATTATTTAAAATGAGGCGCTATACGTTTATATATTATGGTTGTAAGGTATAACGTTAGTTGAGTACATTTTTCATTAAACCTGCAGTAAACAACTTCTGTTTCAAAATTCGTAGTCGTAATCAGCGCCCCCCAAAAAATACTAATACACATTTTCATGTAAATTAAAGCCGCCATTATTGCAATTATCATTATTATGTTAAATTATTATTATTATTTGAATATTATTATCTATCATATGTAACTCTTATACAATCATTTTCAAATATCCTTCATTTTTGAAAATAACTGCATCTGTGTCTATATGGTATACGTGAGTTCTTTATCTCCATAAACATTGAAATTTAAAACTATAGCTCATTGAATTAAAAAATAATTAACAGTAAAACACACTGTGGTACATTTGTACTTCTAATTATACTCCCAAATTTCCACATCAGCATTTCTCGTGCCACTAGTCAGATGTTTTACGTTGCAGGAGCCATATATATATATCTTTATGAAGCCCTAACTTTTACGACATGTACATACAGGAAGTAATATTGGTCTATATCTACAAACCTTCAAACACCAGCATAACAGATGGTGTCACCTCGGATTAGGGAGAGCCCTCAAACGTTGCGCATCAGAGAAATGGCGCAAAGAAAATTAAATGACTCGTCTGCAGCTGCTGAATCAACTTATCTGTTTATCGCACATTTTCTATGATGCCCCATATTCCCAGCTGTAATTGACAATATTGTTTGTCTCCATGGCCACTCATTAACTATATACTGTAACTCGTACAATTAAAATGGTACCAAACAGTGTTTGCAAACAACGAATTCACGCTACCCATCGTGATTCTTTACATGAAATTCAACAGTTTATCTTAATCGTTGGTGGGATAAAATATCAGTGAACGTTGATCAGGTATTGAATTTAAACAATATTCTTGCCACGTTTCATAATTACTATAGCGACGACTCATTGCCTGTGCCCAATTGGTTTGCGTTAAAGAATACGGCAAATTAGATATAAATTAATTTTTTTAGCTTTAAACGATAACAATATATTTTCACTCAATATGTGTGGTTCAAACAATGGCACAATAACACGTATTTTTCATTATGGTAGGAGGTTGATGAAAAAAGTTATTTTTTACATATGTTTTCCAAAAGTCTCATATAGAACTATCGTGCGATTATAACAGATGATGAACTAGTTTAATACTATAAATATATGTCAATCTGATAAGTGTACCAGTCGTTTACCGATACAGTCACGTGACTCATGAAGATCAGTATCATGTTGCTTCACATGAATGACGAAATAACTACAGCTAGGCATATGGTCAATATAGATAACATAATTTAACTGTTCATGTTTGGGAAATTGGTAAAAAAACACTAAGTGTAATATTTGTTTTGAATGTTAATAATAATATAGTATGATTCATATAAAAAACTTTCATTTTAAAAGAAGTAGCTGCACAATATTTTTCAACAGACCACTTTATAAAAAGATCAGTTATATGATGGGGACATAGAGGATTTACAGGGGGACAAGTTTGTGTCAACCTGAAGCCTGCTAAGAAAATTCTCTCCTCTGTTAGGAAGCGGTTCACAAAAAGTGATGATATAACATTTACAGATAGTAGACTACTACTCACTACTATAGATTGAGTGTTTTCAATGAAAAAAACTTTCAATTTACTAAAAACGCGAATAGTTTATCTATGAATAAGAAAATCTGAAACTCCGCAAAAACATAGAGCCTGTTTAGTCTCGACATCTTTGGTGGCTCACAAAGGTAGTAGACTCATAGCAGAAAGAGCAGCAGCAATTGTTATATCTAGTGACTAGTTTGGTATGGATGTTTTTGACATTGACAAATTGTGTCAATTTCCATGGATGTACATCTACACACCCTTCCACATAGTGGGAAGATGCTTTGAGGTTAAATGGATCCTCTCACTACCAAAATCTACATCACCACCCATTCTTTCATAACTACTTTCAAAACTATCTACATTGTCTCCTTCCTTAAAACCAAGTCAGAATCTTCCTTCCCCAAAAAACAATCAAGATGTATTACGAGTAAATAATCATTGTCTACTGCAGTAAACTGCACCAATTTCTAGTTCTGGTTCCCATGATATATCATTATTAAGGTTAGGTTATTAGAATACCGAGGTATCTATACGAAGTCGCTGAATTATCATACACAGTGTTTCTAACTCAAAAGTATTATAGTACTTTGACATAAACAGGCTTGAACTCGTAGGATATCAGCATATTGTATTTTACCTTCCTAATACATCCTTACTATGCTCACTATACATTATATTGTCACCACTCACATATGGCATGTGGCTCTGTGTACTAGCATTATGCATAGTTCTAGATTGACTTACCTGGTGTGAAATGAACGCTCCTCTATGGTATGGAAGTGGAATACCGTACATTACTAAATAAAGTGTATCTGGTCCGTAGTACTCTGCTGTTTCAAACACGGCTTGATAGCCCAGTTTTGCGTCTGAACATTGCGCGTCAAAAAACATTTCTAGGTGTACCGGTGCATTTGGATTTCCCATCTTGTATACGTAGCCCAGTCGCGGTGATGGAAATGCTATCTGGTAAAAGTTGGCACATGCCCCTCCACCAAGTGTTACGACGACTAATAACAATGTAATTGTTACCGCCATAGTGACCGAATACACAAATCTAAGAGACTGATGAATGACTAAGTTAATTAAGGTGGTGTTCTTTTCTCCAAAATGAATTCGATCACAGGTGATGGTTCACATATAGGTAACACGTGATCACCATCATGATGTTGGAAGATTGTGGCATACAAGAATTTTACAAATTAAAATGGTTCTTATAATTTTCACAACAGACATAATGCTGATTTCCAATATTTTTTATAAAACCACATGTATCGATCGAGTGAAATACTTAACCATTACACAAGACCTGAACATTCACCTCGGATGAGAAGATGAATAAGTCGTTATTTCTATAATCACAATATGTTTATGATCAGTATATATGTTGTCAGCCTAGTCAGTAATACTTCATTATTTTAATATCCGATTATAATGTTCTACATGCTCAGTGTAAGGTGAAACATATAACACTGTGAGTGAGTTTTTTTCAGATTTCAAGACAAATGTTGGTGTCCAAAAAGGTGCAATTCTTAAGTCCCCTCTTTTCCCACTATATTGAAATAACATAATTAGTAAGCCACCTTTCTGTAGCATAATGCTCCATGATACTGGTCTCTCGGCCTTGCTATATAAAGATGGCATGATTATCGTGTCTAATACTCTGACAAGTTTGTAATATCAACTTGCCAGGGTAAATGCGTATTTTTGTAGGTGAGATTATTTGTGGAAACGTCCAGTCTGAATAGCGAATCCACCCTGGCTGGCAATGTTGCTGTTTTGATGTTCGGAACATTATGTCGGTGACAGTAAAATTGGGTTTGTAATGTACCTCGAGCGTTGACATCTATAACTATATACAGGTATTGCTATGGCAATGCAAATGATGTGGTGAAATTAAATGTGAACATAATTCCAGCATGCAGAGGTACAAATATATTTAGGGGGTGTACAAGCATACTCTGATGACCTCACCGAAAAGACAGTGCATCATGATTAGATATTGGCATGGATTTTTAATCTGCCGATAAATAGGTATGTATATAAGCACCGTCCCTCAACACGAGGGACGGTGATATAAGGCATATATTGAGTTACGTAATTCACCGTCCCTCAACACCTGGTGTTGAGGGACGGTGCGTAATTCTACCACTTCTTAATCCACGTGGGTCGGTCAAATTCGTTAATACATAGACATCGTTTTGATCACGTGTGGCTCCAATATTCAAACGAGAATTATTAGCCGTCAGTACTGTTTAAAAGCAGAGGATAGCTTCAAGCATTACTGGCCCCAAGAACTGTGCGATGATAATCCAAGAAAACATCATCGAGGCAGTAAACTGCGTAATTATTGAACTTGAAAAACTGTTTTGAATTTGAAAAATACTTAAATCCTTTAGTATATGTTATGATGTTCCTCATATAATCTTGCCATTGAAGTTGGTCGATATGCCAAGTTACCAGTGTGGTTTGTAAAAGAAGCCGCTTTGCACGAACGGCATGATTTTGTTAATGTGTGTGGCATTTTCATAGTTCGATTGAAAATGTTATGTGAATCATATAACTAGAAATTTGCAAAAAAAACTACTGAAGTAGACATGGAATGGATATAAAATTCCTAAAACTGAAAAGGGTGCAATATTTTTCTAGGATGTTCAATGGATTCTCTCACTAGTAATTGGCAGTATATTTACTACATTCCGGTGGCAGTTTTCAAAGTCGGTTTTCAACATCAACATTTTTTGGGGAAAAAACCGTGAGCCAGGCACTAATAATTACCGGTATCAAAATGCTCAGAGCACACACTAGTTGATAAGCGGGCTCTAGTGTGGGCCATCTAGGTTGTTTCTGCGTATAGCCATGGCAGTGAACCAATTGTCACGCGTTTGGTTTTCAGCATGGCGTTATATTCATCATACGTAAATATATTGGAGTATTAGTAACCGTTATTGAAAGTGCTCTATAAATGTGTGTTTGGCTAAAAGTGTTGAACACTCGTTGTATATAAATTGTGTTTTATGATACCCCAGCTCCCTTTGTCTGTTTTCCCCGCTTTGCTACTGAATATATTCTACAGACATCATTTACAGAGACAGCTAGAGGTAGTTTTATGAGTAACATTATTTTTTGTCATTTTACCGTGAATACAGATTGACAGTGTTATTCTATTTATTGTTGATATTCCAATTCCATAATTGTGAAGTATTCTAGTATACCAAAGTCTAAATAGAGGTACAGCGCACGCCAAATTGGTGGATATAAACACGGAAGGAAAACTAGGATGTGTGCTAGATATTAAAGTCCTGGTAATCACTCGATAAATATACTTTACCATATTTTGATAGTGTAACCCTTAGTTACAAAATATTGTTGATGCTATCATGTGCGATAATTCGGCGGATTTACGGCGACTTGATCGTTGAATAGATTTATGTAAAACACAAAATTTGTGATATTTGTCGTAGATGGCGTGATGTGGGTTGAACTATGTAGGTGACAGGTTGCAGTGTTTTATCTGCGTTTTGTTTGTTACTGATCGGTTGTAATGCTTTTTTTTTGGTTCATGTTAGTGTATTGTTTGAACATATGTGGTATTAAACATTATATAACTTTATCGAGACAGAATATTTGATTATAGTCAGCTGTAGTTTCTGTTGTAGTTGGAGCTGTTTGTTTTCGTAATACGAAGGTAGTAAAGTTGATTCAAAATTGTGTGAGACATTTTAGCCGAGCGCCTTAGAATACAGAAATATGGTGCTACACATGTGAATATTTGGGAGGTGTGGAATCGGATTTGACTATTGTACGCTACAGAGGATGGAAACTGACTGCCGGACGTTGAATCGAGTTGCGCAATTTTCATCGATTCTGGCGTCTCACCGAAAAAGTGTGAGTACATTGATGCGGTTGAACTCCAATGCCGAAATTAGTATTTCGAGCGTTGGGTGTTTGTGACTATGGACATTATTGATCATATGAAGGGGTAGCTTTAATATTAAAAGCATTTTTTTGAGACTGTATTCAGATTGTTACTTTGTAAGGTTTTCACTGTGTTAAGTATTTTGGTATATGAACATGTGGCAATGTATATACTGCACGCTATATGCAACCGAATCTTTTAAATTGTCACTGTGTCAAATTATATTGTGTATGGGAGACTGTGTGCTATTTGGTCATATACACTCCTTCATTGTTTAAACATACCTGCTTGATGTTCATAAATGTTTTATGTGTAAAAGTGTGATTGTGTGTACATGTCGTACTCATCAAGAGTGTTTAGACTAAATGCAGTCAAGCTCAAAATAGTGGACGTATCATTACTAATCACAAAACATACTTTCTAATATCCGATGAGTGTATGAGTGCCAAAAAGGTAGAAAGCGATAATTTAATATGAGCTCACTGTGTAAAAATTAGTATGAAGAAATAAATCTGTATTCAAGTGGCTGAAACAAACTGCGCGGCGAGTTTACAGCAAAACGATTCAAAAATTCAACATGATAGTGGAAACAAGTTGGAAAGAAAAATGAACGCACTAATACAAGAATTAGAGACAGAAAAAAAAACTGTAACATCCAGTCGGGAACCAGTGCAAAGGTGTCAAGAGCAGCCTCCGACGCCAGACGCCAGGTGGGATTGAGAGTGAAGTGGTTTGCTTCAAGAGTGGTGGTGACAGAAAGTCAAAAATTAATGAAAACACAATCTCCACGCACAACGAACTGCAAAAAACAAGATGGGACAATTTGACTTTACTCCAAGTAAAAAAGACAGAAACAAACTCCGCCCTCACAGGCCTAGGCCACAACATATCATGGTATGACATATGCTTTATGGGAAAATTCAATGGTGTTTTTGTCAAGTTTTTAATGGAAACAGGTTTTCAGGGCGCACTAAAACAGTATGACCAAATTTTAATTGAAAGCAAGCCACAATTGGTACCTTACCCACCCCAATACATAACATTATAGAATGGCCCACATGCAAGCACAGATTGAAAAACAGTGATAGTGAATGTTGTAGTAGTACGGATAGTACATCCGTCACAAATACGGATTTCTCAGTCATTCAGCACCCAGAATGTAGATTCCGCATCTAAATACAATCACAAAATACAATGATTCAGTTACCAACATTTCAGAGCCCCCAACTACTAAAAATCATTACCATTTGTGTCATGTGCATCTAACAGCTCCTGGATTGCTAATCATACACCTGGGGCATGTACGGCATCTCCAGTCATCACTGTATTCGAATATCTGTATCTAACACTAAACGTCTAGTCCCGGTGAAATTTAGA